GTTATGCTATAAGCAATATGAGTAGATTTAATAAAGATCCTAGAGAGGTTCACATGAATGGATTGAAGAGGATATTAAGATATTTGAAGGGAACTATGAATTATGAATTGATTTATTCTAGGGGAGATTCAAGTATTGTGACTTATACTGATGCGAGTTGGGACAGAACAGCTGATGCGAGATCGTATTCTGGTTTTGTTATAGAAATGGGAAACAACTTACTTAATTGGAAAAGTAATAAACAAAGAAATGTTGCCTTGTCAACTGCAGAGAGTAAATTAGAAGCCTTATCTGAAGGAATTAAAGAATTGATTTGGACACGTAACATCATTGGAGAAATAAAAATTGATTTGAAAGATCGAATTACTGTTTATTGTGACAGCCAGAATGCTATTTCAATGATTAAGTCAAAAAATATGAAAGCAAGTACGAAGTACTTGAATAGAAAGTGTCACTTCATAAGACAAATTGTGGAAGATGAAGAAATTGAAGTTTTGCATGTCCCATCTGAAGAAATGAAAGCGGACCATCTCACCAAGAGTGTGGATGCTGTCAAGATTAAGAACTGCCTAAGTGGTGGAGTTACTTTTTGAGGAATGAAAATTGAAAATTTGAAGGGGAGATTATATTAATCTGTGGATTATTTTATTCTGTGGTGTAGATTATGTGTATATATATAGGTATTTTCTTTGAGTGAGAGTGGTTGAGAATCTGTGTGGAGACGTATGAGTTTCTAAAACTCTTTTTATAGTAATTTGACTTCATTGTAATTAGTGTCTTCAATAAAGAAGTTTTTTACTTATAATAGAAAATAATTATTAAGATTCTCCCAACACGTAGCAGAGCTCTCTCTCTTTTGGATAAAGTTAAATATAAAAGGAAGAGAATTAATGATGTTTATTATATAGAAATTGAAAAAAAATTGTTAAAATATTTAAATAAATTCTAAATCGGTTTATTTCTGTGCCTCCGAGTAGTGGGCAATCTATGGATACGCTTCAGGAGCCTAGGTTACCTTTATATATGTTACCACTTTCTGTAACGATTAATTGTGAGGATTTAAACGAAATTTCCACTTCTGGGATCTGTACATTCGAAATTTCACGATATGTGGGGCAGAAAAAATCAATGTCTTTGTAAAACCTTGAGAAGTTTTAAGATGTAGAAAATTATCAATCGTTACACGAAGCCTTCACGCAATAAACGCATCCAATCTCTATCACAGAACGAGAAAGGCCTAGAAAAGCGATATACACGATAAAATCTAAACCATGTAACACACGAGTTCACATAAGTCTGAATAGCATAAGTCGGAGTGTATTATTCAAACTAATGATTTGATACTGTATAAGTGCCATGAATAGGTTGTTGATCAATGTTTTATTATTTAAATGATTTTCCTATCATGGCTAAGAAAAGTTTTCCATCTGCCTCTTAGTTAAAAACCGAATTTTATTTCCCTAGCTTAACTCACAATTTTGACTGAGGAGCTTATTCCTTAAATTATTCATTTCTTCAACAGATTCTGGTATCCATTGGTGCCCATGTTTCTCTATCTTGAACTCATCTCGTTATTTCTTTCTAATTTTTTCCTCCCATCCACAATCCAAATATTTATCTATGTATATTACTGTATATGCAAACAAAAATCATCTCTCTCGCTACCTGACCTACCTTCACTAAAGAACGGCAGCTAGCAAATGCCAATGAGGAAGTACATGGAGTAATTTATAAAATTTTGAGGCATTTAATTTGACAAGAAATTAATTAATAAGCGCGGGTAATTAAATTTAATCATGATGCTAATATCTATCGAAATGGTTGGCACGTGTATTTGATGCATGTTGCTCTCCAATATATAAACTAGGGAGATATATTCATAACCCAGGTTCCTGGAGCGCAGAACGCCAACTACCCTGGGAGTGCAGCTCACTAGTATGGACTAGTGTTGAGCGTTTTTACTCGCGTCCTGTTTTGATTGCTGAGTTGAACCAGTTGACCAGAAAGTTCCATGCTAAGGTTGAGTCTGGGTGACTGGCCATGGATCTAGGATTGCGGTGGGAATATATATAAACTAGCCGAATGGCTTTGCATGGGTATAATACCCGTGTAGAGTGAAGCCACGTTTTGTTAGGAAGCTTGACCAGTTAAATCAATTTCAAAAACATTGTGCCAAAATAGCATATAATCAAATTTATATCTTATTACTAGACTTTGCGGCCTAAAATTATTGTAAATATATTGTAGCAAGGTATTTAGTATTTTATTAACAGAGTATCATTTTAAAGTTTATATTTTGCTACTCTGTAAACTTCCCCCATTGCTTATCTTTTGTTTATCATTCATAGTTTGTTCTTGCCTTAACCCCGGATAGTTGGCGCTCAGCGCTTCAGGAACCTGGGTTATAAATATCTCTCTCTCTCTGCGCGACGAGCTCTTCGACGTGGTGAGAATCATCTTCGAGGACTTCCTGCGCGCTTCGGGAATAGGCGTCAACTTTGCGAAGTGTAAAGGCCTATGGTGCGGCGCCTGGCGGGCCCGCACCGACGCGCAGCTTGGCATCTCCTGGACATCGGAGCAGATCCGGGTACTGGGCTGCAACTTAACACCTGCAGTGTCATCCTCCGCCCAGGAACAACATCTCCTCGCACTGCTCGAGAGTGCTGTGGCGAGGTGGGTCCCCTTCACCCGCGGCCTCTCCTTAGTCGGTCGAGCCAGAGCCGCCAACTCGCTGGTGTTGTCCGCCGTGGTGCACCATCTTCACGGCTACCTGCCCACAGACTCCACCATCGCCAAGCTGCAAGCCCGACTGGTGAGCTTTGTCTGTGGACCTCGGCGTACTACCTGGTTGCCGGGCGGCGTTCTTGCAAGGCCTGTCTCCGTGGGCGGCTTCGGACTTCTCTACATTGGGACGCAGCTTCGCCTGGCGTGCTTGAGGGGCGTGCAGACCGCGCTGCGCGGAGGCCTCAACGCCTACTCTTGGCTCGCTGTGAGTGGGACGTGGCTGACCCCTCCAACATCTGGGACATGGCATCCACCTCGGCGCCGCAGGCTCCTCAAGCTCTGGGAGGCCGTCTCGGAGATATTGGAGCTGAACCACCGGTTGCTGCCGCCACATCAGCTTCAGGAGCTCCATATCATCGGGGACTCCAGGTTCCTCCGGCCTCCAGATCTTTTGGTCGCATCGCGGTGGGCGGGAATGCGCGTTGGTGATCTTACCAGCTCTTCATCTCCCCCTCTGCGCACCACCCGCGCCGCCCTCGCTGACATCGCGGCACTCACCACCTTCTGCAGCCGGATTGTGGAAGAGAACCGGAACCACACCCACCGGGTTGACAACATCAAGGACGGCATCATGCTGCGCGGGACGGCCACTGCGTTCCAGCGCCTAACCACCCGCACTGCCCGCCGCATGCTAGAACGTCCACGCCTGGCTGCACTGCCCATCACCCAGCTGCTAGCCCGGTGGCTTCCCCCACGTCAGCATCCCCATCTCCATCAGCTGGCCTTCTCTCCGGCGAGGTGCCTTCTCGGGGCACAATGCCGACGTTGCCGTGCGGCTGGCCCTTCACGCCCTACCCCATCCAGCGCATCCGGCCTCAGCCCGGGAGTCCTGCATCGCCTGTGGGTCCGGAGACCTGTCACTGGCCCACCGCTACTGGTCCTGTGGGCGGATCAGGCCTGTCATCCTGGAAGCCTTTACTATCATCCAGCGGCCCCCTGACCTGCAGGGATGGATTTTCGGGCATGACCTGGAGGACGACGCCCTGGCCATCCTGTGGTGTGCCAAGACCCGTATCTACAAGCACTTCCTGGGCCTGGAGATACGGGGCGTCCAAGAGGACCCTCTCATCGTCTGGAGGAGGACTCTGGCAAGATGGTGGAGCCTTCCTCAATCATAATTTCACTCTATTATTCTCATTATTTTTCATCCATAATTGACTAGTAGTCAATAAAGTGTGTTTAACCGTCTCTCTCTCTTGCTTTAAATAAATTTCTGTGTCATCCTAAAGTTTGTCTTTCCTAATTTTCCACGTGGCAATATATATACAAGCTGATGACGTGTCAAAGCCGATTTAAATGCTTGGTTCCGTTGTTAAATCTTGCTGTTAAATAACTTAAATATTTATTTATATATTCATAATATTCACCTCAAAATAATAATATAAACTTATCTTGTTCATTGATTTCTCTTTTTTACATTATTCTTGGTTATATAGACAACTGTAGAAATATACATGTATGTCGACGCAAGTGTCCCTAGGTGGACATAGCGCTTTAAATTGAAATAAATAAATCAAATTTATAGTGCTACCCAAATCAGAACTATAGAAAATTGGTTTTCGATTTATTAATTTTTCCATATGAATTTTTTTAGTTTTCTGAATAGTCTATATGTTAAAATATATTTTTGTTATCTTCGTGGTTTTTCTTTCCTCTCTCTCTCTTTCTGGTTTTTCGGTTAATATATTGGTTTTGAAAATGTTTTCAATAAACAGATCTGAGTATCTCATTATTTTCAGGTTTTACTATTAATAATCAGTTCTTTTTTCTAATTATTTAAGCAACTTGATGTAATAATGGATAATTATTGTTACACCGGGTTGTTGCTTAATGGGTTCCTTTCGCTATTGTTTGTTTCTTCACTCTTATAAATTAGATTTCCCGAGCGAGCTTCCGTTATCAGGTACAAATAAAAATAAGATAATTCAATAAAATAATCCCTTGTATCAATATTAAGGTGGAAATATCAGTTTTCCAGGGGTAGGTTTCTTTTAATTTTTTTTTTATTCACAAATCTTTCTAACTTTTTTTTCTCTCTCTCTCTCGGGCATGCATGTCCTTCTATAGGAGAAGAACACGATATTCTCCTGTAGAAGGGATTCCATGCCCGAAAGCTAGAGAGATTTGTGAATTAAAAATTATATTTTTAAAGAAACCTATAATACAATATTGTATTATAAATTACTTTATATAATAATTACGAACGGAAAAATATGTCCAGGGTAGCCTAGTGGACATGGCATCTGTCCGGTAAGCGGAACACTGTGGGTTCGTTTCCCATCCCTGGACCCTGGACACTTTATTTTTCCGTTCATCATTACTCTTCACAATTCATCCTTTCATACTTCATCCCTAAGGTTAGAAATAATCGTTATTTTTTCTTAAAATAAATTTCGATTTTTCGTTCAAAAGAAACTCATGCGGGATAATTTTCAAATGCCGTTATAGAAACCTATTCCTGGAGGCTTGATATTTCCACCTTAAAATAAGATAATAATAAAACATTCACCTTGCAAAAATAGTTGATCTATTTATTTTCTTGAAGGGTTTAATCGAGTCCAGAGGTCTTCACTTTGACTTCTCCTGCCAACAGTTTTATTTCCTCCAAAACTGATCAGGATGTAAAACAATTACAATGTTACAAAAGGATTGATACCATAGTACATACTCTGTTTATATGAATTGCCATATATATAAAAGTCAACGTATGTATGTATGTATATTTTTCGGCTATGTACGTCCTCAATACGTAACTGAAATTTTAACAGCATATAGAGTTGAATCTGGAAAAACTTATAGCAATATTCTCAGGTGTATATCTCTAATATCCTTAGAGTTATTTTAAAATTCGCCAATTTCACTCGCAACCAGCGCCCCACTGCGGTAACTGAAAGAATTAAGACAAAGACGTGACCGAAGTCGGAGATAGGTTTCGGTTTTGGTTGGAAGCCAGTTGCACCTTCACTCTATGTCCATAGAGTTTGCTCAAATACCATTTGTGAGATTCTACCCTTCAGTGTAGCATATATAAGAAGAATGAATGGACAAAATAGACAAAAAAATATCCAATAACTGCTTGAAATGCAATAGTGCAGAAGCTTCTCCGGAACATATCATGCTCAGAACTGACAATAGAGGACCTATTTTCCAGTCCTATAACTACCATCACAAAATTAGAGAGGAGTGGACTTCAGGAATTATTTAATCATGGAGATAAGCGCCACCACCACCATGATCCAATACAGTATTAGAGCTCGAAAGAAGCGGTCTGGTGTATTAAATTGGCGAAACCGCTTGGAGGTTCACCTCTGATGAGCCAAGCCCTCCCAATATTTTTTATCGCAGTAACGACAGTAGAAAATTGATTTATGTGTGAAAGAAACATTCGCATATTAATATTTTCATTTGCTATATATAGATGGCGCGTTATTGCTTTATATTTTAGAATGATTGATGTAGTATTTTGTGTGTTTGAAATATAAACATATCATCATCATAGAAAGCATGAAGCGCAAACATTGGATTCGAATATAAATAAAATGTAAAATAAAAATAAATGTAACCTTATAAATACATATAATTGTAATAAAATAATTTCATCTGGTGAGTAATGTTTAAATAATAAATTAAATAATAACTATACAACATAAATTGGCGACGAGAATTTGAAAATATAACTAGCCCTGAAAAAAAAAAGTATGGCAGCCAACCTGACGCCACCTTTACCCATGAATTTGAATGCTAGCAATTTATTTGCGGAATATAAGCAATGGATGGAATCCTATGCCATTTTTGAAATAGCATCTTGAATTTCAAAAAAATCGGATGAAATTAAGAGAGCTACTCTATTGCATTGTTTAGGGCCAAATGTACAACGTATATTTTTCAACTTGCCAGATGAAAAGGAAACTTATGAACAAACTAAAATGGGTTTAGATAAATATTTCACACTTCATAAAAAAATGTGGTCACTGAGAGATTTAAATTTAGACAAAGAGTCCAGAAAGATGATGAATCGATCGACAACTACTTAATTTCTTTGAGAGCTTTCTAAATCTTTTGAATTTGGGAATTTAGAAGCTGATATTGTTGTGTTGTGCCCGTTGTTTTATCAATAATCCACTCTGAGTCGTCGGAGCCCCCTTGGTACCGGTTTTATTTATAACCAGTGCCGGAACATAAGGAGAACACCACACACAGCCAGACGCGGAGATACTTCCGCTCGCAGCCAAAACCAAAACCAAACCCCCATGTTCCAGTCTCGGCCGGTTTCCCCCGCCACACTGGCGCCGCCAGCGCGAAGTGACGTGAGGATTCTCGCCTGAACCCTCAATATCTCCCCCAAAAAGTTTAGATGAGGTTAGCGTTGGACATGCTTGTATCTTCTCCCATACCGCGACACTTTCCCAGGTGAGGGAGACAGCTGCTTCATCTCTGGAGCGATTGCTGGCAGCTGTTGTTGCTCCTCTGCAGGCAGTTCATTTCCTGGAGTTTCCTCCGTTTCAGCGGGGAGTTCACTGTCAGGAGATGTCTCACTGGGGTCGACCTGTTGTTGGGAAGAAGCCAGAAGAAGAGAGTTCCGCCTGTAGGTCCCTACAGGAGTTTCCACGATGTATGAGCGGGGCGCTGAAGCCTTCTCGAGGACACTTCCCCATGCTCGTAGATCCTTCACCCAAACTTTCTCTCCTGGAATTAGTTCCGCCTTTTTCGTGGCCGCATGGCGTCTGTCAAAAGCCGTTTTCTGCGCCATCTTCCGCTGCTCCTCTTCCCCCCTGAGTTTGGATTGATCCACTGTTTTAGGGGTTAGTGATGATGAAGTGCAGGGAACCATAGTGTGAATTTTCCATCCAAATAGAAGTTCCGCTGGGGAGAGTCCGTTTGCCAGGGGTGTTGCCCGATACTCCATGAGTGCTAGGACCGGATCTTTATTCTTTTTCATCAGGCTTGTCACAATTTTGACAGCAGCCTCTGCTTGACCATTTGATTGTGGATGCTTTGGGCTGGAAGTGATGTGTCGAAACCCAACTTCAGAGGCAAACTTCGTAAAAGCTGAAGTTGTTGATGGGCGAAATTGTGGTCCGTTATCACTTATTACAATGTCAGGGATGCCATGATGAGCAAAGATGGCTTTGCAGTGATCTACCACAGCTCCCGAGGAAAGTTTAGTAAGTCGTACGACCTCGATAAATTGAGAAAAGTAGTCTAAGACGACTAAATACTCACTTCCTTCATAATGGAAGAGATCCATCCCGACCTTTTGCCACGGTCTTTCCGTAAAGTCGTTGGGGATGAGTGGTTCGTGATCTGTTTCGATGAGGAAGGTTTTTTCCAACCACAAAGTCCTTGAAGCGCTCACACGCCCATGTGATTGCAAGGGCTTCCTTCTCTATTTGAGCGTATCCCTGTTCCGTCTTTGTCAGCGTCCGTGATGCAAAGGCCACTGGGCGCCACTCGTTGGCTTCATGCTCTTGCTTGAGGACAGCTCCCAGTCCATACGATGATGCATCAGCTGAGATCACGGTCTTCTTAGAGATGTCAAAGCTTGCTAGAACTCGGTCACTGGCCAGAACCTCTTTGACTTTCTCGAATGCTTTTTTCTGTGGTGATCCCCAGATGAAACTCACATCTTTCTTTCTTAGGTCGTTTAGTGGCTTTGTGATTTCCGCTAGGTTTGGAACAAAGCGGCCTAAGAAATTGACCATGCCCATAAAACGTTGCACCCCGTGCACATCAGTTGGCGGTTTCATCTCGGCGATGGCTTCGACTTTCTTTTCGTCCACCTTGATACCGTGTTCTTTGATGTAATGTCCCAAGAATGTGACGTTGCTTACACCGAACTGGCATTTTCTTTGTTAAGCGTAATTCCTGAGTTCTTTAGGCGTCTCAAAACTTCGCGTAGTGTTTCGTCATGCTCTTCCTTTCTCTTTGCGAAAATGAGGATGTCATCCATGTGACAGATTACCCCATTGACTCCGCGTAGGATAGCAGACATGCGCTTATGGAAGTTTTCTGTGCGCTAGAGATCCCAAAGGGAAGCCTTTTGAATTTATATCTGCCAAAGGGCGCAATGAAAGTCGTCAGCGTTTGGCTTTCTTCAGAGAGTTTAATCTGCCAAAATCCGCTGTTAGCATCCAGCCTGGAAAAGATTTTGGCCCCGTTGAGTTGAGCTGGTTCATGTTCAAGGACAGGAAGTGGGTGAAGCTCACGTTCCACACTCAGGTTAAGCCGGGACAAGTCTACACAGATCCTGATTTTCCCGTTTGGCTTTCCAGCTAGGACGCTCGGTGCGCACCACTCCGTTGGCTCATCAACTGGTTCGATGACTTCTTGAGCCACCATGGCATCCAGTTGCTCTTTTAACTTCGGCATGAGCGGAAGAGGTACTCGTCTTGGGACTGGTATGGAGAAGGGCTTGGCACCTTCCTTCAACTTGATGTGATAGGGCTGTTCAAGAAGCCCCAGTCCTTCGAATAGCTTAGGGAACTCTCGTTCAGGATTGACATCCGTTGTTCCGTTGATGACAAGATCAATTCGTTTGACGAGTTGGAGGTCTTCACAGGCTCCGACACCCAGCAGAGGTTGCTCCAAATGGTGGACCACGTACACGGTTTCCTTCACTTCACGTGTGTTAGCTCGGAGCTTCGCCACGAAGGTCCCAGCATTCTCCAATCTTTGGTTCGCGGCCGCCATCAGTTGACCGTCGGTAGGCGTCAGTTGGACGTTGCTGCAATACCGCTTGTACAGGGAAAATGGTATCAGTGTCACATCCGAGCCCGGATCCAACTTGAAGTGGATTGCAGTGCCGTTGACTCTTACTGTTGACTTCCACCTGCTCTTTCTGCTTCCCAGCGTAGGCTCGCGGACTGCATATACAAATGAGACCTTCTCCCGCGCTGGGGTTTCCTCCGAGGATATGGCGTTCACCTCATTGTTCTATCTTCGACAGAGATTAGTGTAATGGCCCTTTTTCCCGCACTTTCCACAGACTTTGTCCTTAGCGGGGCACTTATCTCTGTAACGATAATGATGTTTGGTAGTCCCACAGTTAAAGCAAGTTGGGGATTTTTTTCCTTCGTCTGTTTCCTTGGCACTGTCTGTTTGTCTAGACGTTGATCTGCTATTGTCCTTGCCATGACCTGATGCCTTAGGCTTCTGCTTGGCCACTTTCCGCGTTGTGTCGACCTGCGGGGTGGAAGGGTTAAAATCCTGTTGTTCACGCATCACAGCTTCCCACTGACGGGCGATTTCGACTGCTTTGGCCAAGGTCAGGTTTTCGTTTAGCATCAGTT